CAACATTGATTTGCACTTGTGGATTTTCAAAAGATTGACCCAAGAAAGGACAACTATTAGCATAATGAGATGGATTAGCACAGACAGAACACTCCACCTTTGGCAAAGAGGAGTGCTGAGAAGAACTAATAGTCTGACAACTGACAAAACTTGGTCAAACTTTCGATTCAACACTTCCATTTGAGTGGCAAAATCTCTAGATTTTTCTGCTTCATACAAACTTTCAACTTGATGGATACCAGGAGTGGACCTAGACCTAGAGGAAGAAACATGTTAAAACAGAATTTTCACTTAGGGCCTCAAAAAGTTGCCAAGCATTATCTGGGCTCTTATGCAGAAAACCACCATTACTAAAAACATCTACCATGTTCCTATGTGGATCATGTAATCCATCATAGAAGATTTGTACCAAATTCCATTTAGGAATATTATGGTGTGGGCACTTCCTCAGAAGATTATTGTATCTCTCCTAAGTATCATGAAGTTGTTCACCCGGGATTTGGGAGAATGCCATGATTTCTCTTCTCATTTGTGTGGTTTTACCTACAGTGTAGTATTTTGTTAAGAACTCTTGTTGCAACTTATCCCATGTGCTTATGGAATTATGAGGTAGGGAGTGCAACCAAGTTCTAGCTTTGTCCTTGAGAGAAAATTAGAAGAGTCTTATCCTAAAAGCATCATCAAAAAGAGTGGACAACTTGGCAGTTGAACACAATTCTAGAAATTCATCTATGTGCTTATAGGGATCTTCAGTAGCAAACCCATGGAAAGTTAGAAGCATTTGGATCATAGTTGGCTTGATCTCAAAGTGGGTTGGATCAGATTGTGGAAATTGAAAGCAACAAGGGGATGTATGTGAGGTGGGAATGAAGTGATCCCTCTATTGTGGTTGTGGCGGAGGAATAGGTGCTTGTGGCACATGTGCCCCATTGGGATTATTACCATTATTAGCCATGTCTGATTTAAAGAATTCTCCCAACAATCTAGGCTAAGTACAGTGGTAACAAGCAAAAAGAAAAATTTCAAGCAAAGAAATAAATTTAAAAGAACTCACAAAAGGTCCTAAAACCGTAGCTTCTTCTCCTTAAGCTTCGTCGCCATTTCTCCTTGATTCCTGTACTTGACAAAAAAAAGAAATAAGGTGAGATAGTAGAAAGTCCTACAACTATAAATTAAAATAAAGCTAATCTCAAACTTAACAAAGCCGTGACACAGTCCCCGACAGCGGCCCCAAAAATTGATGTGTGTTTTTATTTATCAATAATAAAATACCACTCGCAATAGAACGAATCCTTATAGGATAGGGCTATGTTGAGGGTGTCAAACCTCAAGGACTATGGTGGTTTATTGAGTCTTGAATTAATACTATTCTAATTTAGAAAGATGATTTGATTTTGTGTGTTGTGTTGCAATTCAATAACATAAAAGAAAATAAACGTAATAAAATGACTGAGATCAAGAGAAAAAATACTTAGGGATTGACTTCACCACGAACCTCATACTATGGTCAACTGTTCAACCTTGGGATTTCAACAATTATGTATAATATGGAATTAAACTCAATAACATTCATTGAATTCAGATTTAAATAAAGATGTTTCATGAATTTCAATTAATAATAACCTATCTTCAGTTGGCACGAATTATCTGCCTACCTACTTCTAACTAATTTTGCACTATAACTCGTCTTCACTAGGCATAGACTATGAAAACATTCATTCATGAAAAACGTTTGAACACCATTGCATGATCTCCATTCTTATGTCCAACAGGGCTCCGCCAGATATCGTCCATAAGAATGGGTTGAATATAATTTAAGAATAATTAAATCTAAGACAAGGTATTAATCATTCAAAAACTATTTAATCATTAAAAACCAATTGAATTAAGCAATTGCCCAAAATCATGCAATCAAAATACATAATATATTAAATTCCCAAAGTATAGAACAATCAAACCATATAATTTTTATTCGGGCTACATCAATGCCTTAAGATAGGAATTAGCTACTCATGATGATGTAAGATATCATCTGTGGTGCTGTGGTCTTCATTGCCATGGACTGCCAAAACTCCTTTGGGATCTTCTTCTTCAAAACCCTAAAAACCGCTGTGAAAGAGATATATGAGACAACGAATCGATTTTCTGTGGCCTTCTCCTCTTCTTTTATAGTGGAGAACAAGTCCCAATCCCTTTTGGATTGGTTTTCTAGCTTTTGGTAACAATTGGGCCCGTAAGGAAATAAAGAAATATAATTTTTGGTAATTCCCGCATGTTTTTACGACTTCCAGGACGTCCAGGCTTGAGCCTTAGAGTCCCAGGCTCGAGCATCCCCTGCCAGCAACTTGTTCCGCCTTTCCAACGTAATTTTAACCCATTTAGTGTGCGAATTTGGAGATGGATATTAGAGACAAAAACATCAGGCTTCGAGTCTTCTTTCCAGAAAAGCTAAGGTTGCTCAATTTGGAGTTTCGAGTCAAAAGTTATGGTCAAAATACTAAAATGAGTTTAGAGTTTTCAGCCATACTCGAGCCCGAAGTGTTGGTGCTCAAGCTTTATGATTTGTACTCGAGCCTTAAAGCTCAGGCTCGAGCTCTGGGATTGATATCTTTTAACATTGCTTGATCCAAGCTTCACGGGCTCGAGCACTAGGTACCATGCTTGAGTATTTGGTACTCAAGGCTTGAGCATCAATGGATGATGCTCGATCCTTAATAGATGGTGCTCGATCCTGGAGGTGAAGCACGAGACCTGGGAGCATAGCCTTTCTATTAATTCAACTCTTTTATTTCTGATGCCTTATGCTCGAGCTTGAGGTTCAAGGCTCGAGCACCCTTGGTTAAGGCTCGAGCATCAAGGTACAAGGCTCGAGCATTTGGGCCTTGTTAACTTTTATTCTCTTCTTTGTTATGATGCTTGAGCCTCAACATTTGGGCTCAAGCTCTAAGGATTGAATTTCTTCAAAATTCACCATTCAAGCTCTCGGCTTACTCTGAATGACTGGCAACGATGTGGTAAACTTCATTATCATTCTTTTCATCATAAAAGCCCGGTTTTAACTGCTTCTTTAGGAAAACACCTAAAAACATGAAATAAACATAAATTAGTATAAAATAGAATAGATATATCACTTTAGGTCTTAACATATGCGTATTTAGGGGCTCAAATATGTGATATTCAGCCCTCATCATGGCTTACGTTTCGTCTCACCAGACAAAGACTACAGCTCTACGCTCACCTGAGCCCTAACGAGAAGACTCTCCGTGAGTCAAGAATGTGTCTCTATATGCGTGAAAAGGAAACGAGATCAATAATAACATGAGTTATTATGATCGAATACAACTCACTCACCGAATGTATAAAATAAATAGCATGTCAATGTATCCAACATATAGTCATGCTAAAGTAATCAAAGAAAGCTGTTTAAGCAGTTAAGCACTTAAGCAAATAAGCATACATGTCAAACAAGGATGCTCTTAAACACATAAGCATATAAGCATAGAGACATGTCATAATACTGAGTGTGTTATCAAGAAACATGTAAACACGTTATAACATCAAAACATGTTACCAAAGGCATGTGAAAATATCAAAGTACATCAACAAAAGCATGATATGCACCCAGAGCCCGTCATCCAATGTATTTAAACCTAGGAGCTCTGATACTACTTGTGATGGCCCAAGTTTTTTAACCCGGTGTGTTAGTGATGAACTGAAAGTTGACCCGATAACGGATCCGAAATGTGGAAGCAAAAGAAGTAAAGTGGCTTCTAGAGATGTACGTCATCCCTAAGGCACCAAAATGACTCCCCATGAAGCCACGGAACTCAAACGAGTCAAGTACTAAAGCAAAGATATCAAACCCGATAAGAAATGAACCAAGGGTAAAATGATTATTTCAAACAAAAATGGGTGCCACCGTGCACACCATTGGAAATACAATGAAATATGAACAAAGTTAAACTCAAAAATCACCTGATTCGAAGTTCGGACAGAAAAGATATGAAAATAAAACGAAGTGGCATTCTCCTTTTAAGAGATACCAGGAACCTATCTCACTAAAACTGTAATAACTCTCACTATAGTTAAATTTTTTAGTTTGGTTGGTATTATTGGAAAGTTAACTTCAAGCTCTTGAATTTTAACTCAAGAACAACCTGATTTGGATTTAAAACGAAAGAGATATGATCCCCTAAAGTTGGTACAACAAAGTTGTCCAAGGAAAACTGAAATGAGAAAGCTCCAAGGAGGATTGGTCGACCGACGGCAAGGGTCAGCCGACCAAAACTCCATCATCAACCGACTGAAGCTCAATCATCAGCCGGCCGAAATGACTCATTTCACTAAAAGCCTACTGGAATGGGTATCAAGGGCTTATCAACTGGATGATGGCTCTCATCAGTCGACCGACGCATCTGCTGCAACAGAAAAAGCTGCTGCAATGTGTGTGGTAAGTTCTTGGTCCATCTCTAAGGCTATGCATGTATTCTACATGATTCGAACAAGTTTAAAAACATTCCCTAGCCTCATTCAAGCATCCGTAACATGCTAAATCAAGAGGAAACTTCAAATGACACCCCATGCATGAATTTTTATGAAAAATTCATAAAATCGCCCAAAAATAGTTCCAAAGTTAAAACTTAGGAGTTTTGAGAAATGTGGACATACATACAAACGTAAAAAGACATTTAAGATGCGTCCCAATGGTCCGCAGCCTTAAAATATCCTCAATGCAACCCTCAACCCTTAATTTCTCATAAAATTGCCTAAAAAGATGAAGTACGACACCATCAGTGACGGACCCAGAAAATTATGTCAGGGGGGGCGTCCTTTTAATAACAATTTTTTTTTTTTTTTAATAATTAAGCAAATTCATTAAAGGCGTTCAAAAGGGGAACGCGTCCCAAAAACAACAAAAGGATCCCATTGAACACATTTACAATTCAGATCATCATAATAAGCAAAAATATTTTTTTTGTTCATTGAATCATTGAGCACATTCACAATTGTCCCCAACGACTTGTCATATTTTGAAAACGTTGTATGATAACTTCATTATCCATGCCACTAGATATCTCCTTTTCAATATATACTATCAAGCTATCACTCATCCATTCATCTCCCATTTTGTTGCGCAATCGGTTCTTTACGATATTCATAGCAGAAAATGTCCTCTCTACACTAGCAGTTGCAACTGGTAGGATCAACGCTAATGTCACAAGCAAATAAACTAGTGAATGTACCTTGTCTCTTTTGGTTTCCACCATTTTTTTTGCGAGGTCACCAATCCCTTTTAATCCTTCAAACTCACAAATAGAACGCATATCCGCAATATAATTCTCAAGTTGATCACTAAGTCTCATGAGAGCATGTGAAGAAAATTCTTTGGGATAAAATTGAGCAAGGTGGATTAGTTTTTGCTTTTCAAAAGCACAAAATGAATCATCCAGACACAAACAAGCCACACAAAGCAACAACTCGGAACTCATTTCAGAAAAACGACTAGTTAACTCTTGAAGTTGCATATCTATGATGGAATTAAACAAATCAACACGATAATGATGCAAGTTTGACTTGTCATGAGCTTTACGTCGTAGTCTTCCTCGAGGTAGAAATGTATCATCCATATTAGGAATAGGAATGTCATGTTTCACAAAAAAAGAAGAAACTTCGTTGAGTAAAGAATCCCATCCACTTTCCCTCATCCTTTGTAATTGGACCTTACTTAATTTGACCAAGGACATAGCAACCACAATATCTTGATCTTTCCTTTGAAGTGCCTTTGACAAATCATTTGTAATTCCCAAAACAGCTCTCATCAAATGCAAACAAAATATGAAGTTAAAGGATTGTATAAATTCCAATAAAAGATTTACTTCAAACTTTTTTTCTGATGACCCATCCTCTGCAAGTGTCTCAAGTACATTAACAATAGCTGAAAACATAATAGTCACGCTAATCAAAGTGTCATAATGTGAACCCCAACGTGTATCACTAGCTCGTTTAAGAGAAGTGTTTTGATTTAGGCCTTGCCCACTTGAAAGCTCACCATTGTTAAGTGCCTCGGTAACTATAGAAGCTTGTTTCTCTCGAAGAATATCACAACGTTTACATGAACCACCAACTATATTTATAAGATTAGCAACAAAAGTGAAGAGAGAAACAATATCCTCATGTTTTTTTGCCATACCCACGAGAGCCAATTGGAGTTGATGGGCAAAACCATGAATGTAAAAAGCACATTCATTCTCCTTCAAGATGAGAGTTTTGAGACCATTGAACTGACCTCGCATATTACTAGCCCCATCATAACCTTGCCCTCGTAATCTAGAAATGCTCAACCCATGTCTAGAAAATAAAGCATCAATCGCCTTCTTGAGTGAGATGGAAGTGGTATCAGAAACATGCACTAGACCCACAAAACGTTCAACTACATGCCCATTATTGTCCACATACCGTAAACACAAGCCATTTGCTCCTTTGTTGATATGTCCCGAGATTCATCAATTAGAATAGAAAAAAAAAGCATCACCAATATCTCCGATAATAACATTGAGAGTCTCCAATGCAATGGCATTAACAATGTCCTTTTGGATCTTAGGTGCCATTAATTTGTGATTTTCAGGAGCATTTTGCAATGTAACCGCATTAATGTCTTCATTATGATTCACAAGAAATCGCAATGTCTCGAGAAAATTCCCTTGGTTGCTTGAATCCTCAGTTTCATCGTCACCACGAAATGCAAGACCTTGTCGCAAAAGATGTCGAACACAATCAATTGATGCAATCAATCGTGTTCGATATGCAATTCGTGTCTTCTCTGATTGCTTGAAGAAAATTGATTGAATGTGTTGTTTTTGTTTCATTAATGCTTGGCACATACTCGAACATTGGTTGTGGGCACTTTTTGGACCTCCAATGTGGCTTTGTAGTTTTTCCAAACCCTTCTTCCAATTAGAAAATCCTTCACTCACGAAGGTATCACCACCCGATTGTTCTCCGATTTTTGGTTTAAAAAGATAACAACATAGACAATATGCTTCATCTTTATCTTTGCTATTTTCTAACCAAGTAGAAAAGGCATCAAACCATGCCGGGTTGAATCGTCGTAAGCATTGCCCATAACTCTTATAAGGAAAATGATATTTTTTAGGTTGGCAAGGACCCTTTAGTAAATATGCTCTCCGAATTTGATCTCGAATATCGGGATGGTAATTCAATATCGGAGTTCGTAGTCCAGGATCTGCAGCTAGATCCTCAAGGTTGATCTCTACATCACTTATCTTTGAAGAGCCATCATCTCTTCTTAGAGATGGTGGCAACCCTCTTGTCACAAATTTGTCCATTACTGATCAATTTCCTGTAAAGAGTGACGACATTTTAGTTTGGTTTCTTAGTGATCAATTTCCCATCAACAAAATAAACACATTCAAAAATTGCATATTATAATAGATTGTGCGCCTGTGTTGTTGTGCATTGTAATAAAATAAAAATAAAAAAAGAAATTAAACATTTAGAAATTGCATATGCATTGTTATTAGAAAAAATAAACCAAAGGGAGTACCTATACAAAAGAACTTAATCTTGTAAGTTGCAACACTGAACACTCCCAGACTCACAATATCATTTAATGCCTCCTTAATTGAAAATACAAAGCAACTAAGTTTTGTATACATGTATGTGTGTATATATTCAAATGGAGTAGAAAAATTAATGAAATATAAATTTTATTAATTTCTTATAAGATAGAATTGCAAGAGGTTGGGAGCTAATAAAAGAAATTACATTAAATGAAAGTAAATGAAATTAATTAAAGGTGCAATTAATGGACTAAAGTTAAGGTACAAATAAAATAAAAGAAAGCTAGATAGAAAAAAGCAAGGCATGAAAAAATGTAAATAAAGCATAAAACTAGACAGACTGAAATGTAAATGTGTCATGTGACTCATGTGTGTGTCGTCCAGAGAGAGAGAGAAAGCCCATTATAGACTGATATTTCCAGCGAAAAAAAAAATTATAAAGACTGATATATAATTATAAGGCAATAAAATCATATACTCTCTCTCAGTCTCTAATCCTGTGTATTCTGTTTCATAGTCTACATATGCATTGCCTATCTGAACAATTCAACACATTCATGGATGTTAGTTTTCTTCCCACATTGATTGACACACAAACTTATGTACATATAACAGAGTTTACATAATATTTTGTTAGCCAGTTGAGACTTACAGCTATTCCTTTTAAGTTAATGACGGTCTGACTCTCTCTATATATTATTATTATTATTAAAGTAAAAGTATATAAACACTAATTTCATTGTGGCTTCTTGAGACGGTGGGTGCTCATAATGTATTATTTTGATTTATTATATAAAAGTAATTTATAAAAAAATTAAAGTGAACACAACAGATCTTCGATTCTTGAATCTTCATTATATATATTTCTTTGTTGTTGTATTAGCAATTAACACATTAATTAGTCAATTAATTGTTTCAAGACGAGAAAGAGCATGAAAAGGCACATAAGTTACATAACCTAAATCACACTAACAAAATCAAGAACGATTAAGCAGTAAACAACATACGAATTTAGATTACAGGCTTGAAATGAATGATCAATTCTCATTTTAAACAGAAATCTAACACATAAATGATAAATCAACAACCAAAATCGAGCAAATAATCAGTTCTTGAGATTTGAGAACCAATAAAAAAAGAAGAAGATCAGTTGAAATACCTTCGATTTGTAGTGTAAAAGTTGAGAGATCAGAGACCAAAGTTGTGGAATAATAGCAGTGAAGACTGAAGAGAGAAGCGACCGGATAAGGGCTAGGCGAGGTCCCGAGGATGAAAGAGAAGCTCTGACAACGAGAAGAAAAGGTCGATGAAGAAAAGGTCGATGGGCCAGTATATATTTTGGGAACTTAATAATGGGGGTATTTGTGAAATTTCAGGGGGGGGCATGATATATATTCTAAAAAAAAGTGTAATATATAATAGGAAAAAAAAAAAATTTTAGAGGGGGCATTCGCCCCCCCTGGTCCACAGGCAGGTCCGTGCTTGGACACCATGGCATATAAATGAAAACGAATTGGTGTTTGGCCCTTGGCCACACCTCATACATATTAAATGGATCCTACAAGATGAATTTTATATACAATGCACACTCCGGTGCGAAATAGCTTACTAAAACGCAAGATTTTTCATATATTCTCATTAAAGGCAAAATTTAACATCCATGACGTATATTCTCATTAAAGAAGTTTGTCCTTTGGCCTCATATCATAAACATAAAATGAGAATCAAAAAGTGTGCTTAGGCACACATTACAAGTTTAGAATCAAATACACACATTTAACAAATAAAGCTACAAGTGGCATTTCAAGCCAACCTTTACAAGAGTGGAACCTTTAAGTCCACAAATCATCCAAGCATGACGAAAATCTCAATCTTGATTCCTGTACCTAAAAAATGACCCCGATAACTTTGGGGTGAGTAACATAAAGCTACTCGTAGGAGATGAACATGCAAAGACCTACCGTTTTACAAGATTATCACATCAATGTGAAGCAATTCAAAAGGGTCATGCCACCTAACGTCTATGTCAGAGGTGAGATTCAGGAAGCATCCTAACCTACTTTAGATCATTTCTAGCATAAATCGCATTATTCATGCAATTTAAATAACATAGAAGCAAGTTATACAAGACAACAAGACATAGATTATCAAAGTTATCAACTTGAAATCTAAAATGTGAAAACAATTAAAGTGGGTCATGCCACCTAATGTTTATGTTCCAAATGAATCTATAGGATCATTTCTAAGTTACATTTGAACAATATAGCATAGATGTACTTAATAACATCAAAATTTGCAATGATTCATTAAAATCATGAAGCATAAATGTACTTAACAACATTAAAACTTCGATGACTCATTAAAAATCATAAGGCATGAATGTACTTAATAACATTAAAACTATGATGATTCATTAAAATCATAATGCACAAATGTACTTAACAACATTAAAACCTGCGATGATTCATTAAAATCATAATGCATAAATGTACTTAAAAACATTAAAACCTGCGATGATTCATTAAAATCATAATGCATAAATTGACTTAATAACATTAAATCGCCAATAACCAAAACCACAAGTCACAATTAAACATTGGTTGTTAACTTGGAATTAAATGCGAAATCAAATAGTGCAAGACTTGAACATCAAATCTTGGATAAAGTCAAGACCTAAACGGTTATTCCGGGCACTAACCCGCTGGGAATACCACCATTGTGCGCACTATAAAATAGGGAGAACTCATACATCTCATACTAGAGCCAAACTCTAGCCATGTCTTTGTAACAATGTCTCAAGCAACTCCAAAATAATTAAATAAGTTCACAACTTATACGTAATTTAAATAATGCACGAAACTACCTTCCATGCACAAGTAGGTTGTAACCACACAACACATGCTCTAACTCCATAACTGCTATAGGATGACAAATGTCAAATCTTCAGAGTATGATTCGTTACACGCTATAATAACATCACATGTCAAATCTTTAGTGTACGATTCGTTACACGCTATAACAATATCATTTAATATTGAAAACATAAACTGAAGAGTCTAATACAAGTTTACAATCATGATTTAAACATGCAACCAAAGTCAAATACATGATTAAATCATTAATGCAATAGAACCGAAAATTAATTAAACCTAGGTTTCAAATCTCAACCAAATGATCCCTAATTAATATATGTTAAACAACATAGCTTGATCATTGCATATATCAATTCAAAAACTTAATTAGGTCATTGGAACAATAAGGTAGAATTTAATTAAATCATGATAATTAAATCCCTAGATTCTAAAGCAATATCAAATGGTCCCAAATTAATATATGCTAGTGAAAAAGTCATAGTCATTACAAATATCAAGTTAAAAACTTAATTTAACTAATGGAACCATTTAATAGATTTTAATTAATTCTTTTAATTTCAAACTCATCCATATGTTCTCAAATTAAAGTATGTTAAAGAACATGACAAGACTTAATTTAATAGCATATCACAAGTTAATTTCATGCAAGGTATGACCATGAGAATTAAACTTTCATAAAAGAAAATTATTAAATAAAAGTTACAATTCTTTTTCAAATAATCCCAATTTAATATATGTTTACAAACATACCAAAGCCTAATTTTCTAGAATGCCATAATTTAATTCTAAGTTGTACACCATCATAAGAATTAAATCTTAAACATAGAAAATAATTAAATTAGATTATAGAACTTGAACTAAAGCATGCATACAAGTTGTGTAAGCATCAATAGCATTCAAGATAACAAAAATATAAACCTATAACATCCCTTACCTCCATTTGAGATGAAATTTCAAATCCCCGCTGAAAGAAAAGTGCTCCAAATTCGACGATACTCTTAGGCTATGTCGGGGAGAACACGGTGATCATTAAACACCAAGGAGGTCACACCAAAATCCTAACTTGGCCTCAAACCTGAACTCAAAAAATGGCCAAAAACGGATTCTAATAAGGGGGAAAGATGCGCATCGCCAAGGCCTTCGATAAACGTTATGGCTCTACAACGTTTTTCAAGAGGGAAGTGGCCGAAAAAGAAGAGAGAAGTGTGGCAGCCCAAGGCTACCATGGATGGCCAGCCAAGAGAGGGAGAAAGATGATGAAAAAGTGATTTTTCACTTTAAGACATTCTATTTATAGCAAAACCCTAAAAATGCCTCGAAAGGGCCCCGCCTGGTCCAGAAAAAGTGGAATTTGAACATACATGCTAAAATAGCAAAACTCCATGAACAAAAAAGATCTAAAATGAGAAAATATGAACAACGGAAGAAATGGCGTCAAAAACTGAGTCCCGAGCAAAAAGATATGCCCTAAACAAGTTCGGTGGCAATCGAGCCAGAAACCCTGAAACTGGGGAAAAAGAATCAGATGACAATTCTATGAGTACGCGACTCGAAAAAAAGTGAAAATAAATCCCTTACGAGGATCCAGGCTTAAAAGGAGATATTTTTACAATAACTTTCATTAATTGCAGAATGGCCCCTCCAAAAAGTGATAACTGCACTAATGACCCAGAATGAAAATATCTTTCAAAAATATTTTCTTAAAAACCCCTAAAATAAAATATCTCCAAAAGATATTTACGAAAAACACCCCAAGAAAAGAAAATGTTTCTGAAGAACTATGCATCCATGCCCCTATGGACACCGGGAACAACCAGAATACTTTTCTACAAAAGTAAAGATATGTATTTCATGGAAACCACTTAGAATGAAGGTACATGAATTCAAAAACCA